GGCCCTGAGCCCCGGCTGCACCCCCACACCTGTGGGCACACAGGAGGCCCCCAGCCCACGCAGGGCAAGCCAGGGGTCTTTAGGGGGGTTCCCCCCCCGCTAAACCCAACCAAATGGGAAAGCACCAGATAGAGCCTAAACCCACGAAGGCAGCAAAGGACGGCACCTTTGTCCTGCCCCACGCAAAACTCTCCCCAAAACAGGGAAAAACAAAATGCTGCACAGGACGATCAGCCGGGCTGAGACCATCCCAGCCCCCAAACTCAGCGGCATCAACAGCATCTTCTCCCAAAGGTGCCGCACACTCCCCATAGTTTTGCTGCTTCTAGGCGCCCTTTGCCAGAAAAAGCAGCCAGAAATTAAAAAAAAAAAAAAAAATCGTTGCTGCAAAGTTCATAGATGCCAATATATTAAAAAAAAAAAAACAACCCTCATCCTGCTTTCTTTAGCACATGCTTGATGCTTTAAGAGCTAAGTAACTGATTTCCTATCGATCACAGTACCGAGCATCCCCACCCTCGCCAGCGGGATGCTACGCCCAGGTTTACGCTCCAAAGGCCCCAGCCACCCCATTGCCGCTCTCCCGCTTGGGGCAGACCTGCGGTGAGCACCGCGAGCCGGCGCAGTCCCCTCTGCCTGAGGCTTGGTCCCCCCCCCCAAAAGGTCCGAAACCAGACACTTGAGGCTCGGCGCAGGCACACGGTGGTTACTCACTCGTCCCCTGGCTCGGAGGGGGGGACCCCCACCCAGACAGCGCGGGGCCGTCGCCCTTGGCGGGGCGAGGCAGATGCTGGGGCGCTGGCGACAGCACCGAGGGGGATGCTCGGCCCGAGGGGGCTGCAGTGCTGGGCGTTCCACCCGCGCCGCTCGCCCATCTCACCTTTTCCGCCCGCTCCCCTGTGACTTGAACCCCCCCTCGCCCTGGATTTTCCCCCCAGCTGCACGACTGCCCCTGTATTTATTTTAGCCACTGTTCAGGCCAGGTTGCCAGCCAAGTCTTTCCTTCACTGCCAGACCCAGCCAGATGGGGATAATTAGGCCTGGATTAAGTTAAAACCTTTAACTCTTTAAAAGGCAGCAATGCTGCACAGCCCCTCGCAGCTCCTCTCCAGCTCTGTCCCTTCCCTGCTAGTCATCCCATTTACTTTGTTCGTTTACAGGTTCACGTTCCTGGAGCACTAGGAAATCTCCTCACAAAACAGATCAAAGCGTATTTTGCAGATTACTCACGCCCAAAGCGGCTGCCAGCCAAAAAGATCCGGCATGGAGCGGCACACGCTGCATCCCTCCTTCCTCCGCAGGAGACCTGGCTGCAGGGAATCTGAACTGCGGACCCCAGGGCCGGGCTGTCCCCCTGCTCTTGGGACACGGGCAGGGCAACGCCACATCAGCAGGAGCCGCAGCCAGAAGCCGGGCTATTTTGCAGTCAAGGATCCATTAAACGCCTGACGTGTCGATAGTACCCATTCAGTTTTCCTGAAAAGGTCCTCGACTCAAAGGCCCGAGACGCTCGCTCACCTCTGCACGACTCTCACCAGCCTCATCTTCACTCGGGAGCAAATCGCTGCCCCAACAAAGAGCTGGGGGGGAAAAAAAAAACATTCCTCTTGTCTTCCGCAGCGGGGCAGAGACCAGGTAAGCAGTCCGGCAAGCCCCAGCACCCCGCGCAGCACACGGGTAACCCATTCCTCCCCGCTTTCATCCCATTTCAGCCTCTACCCCTACCACGACCTGTTCAGAGCTGGGCGACGCGTTTGAGCTGGACCCGGAGCTCTTCCCAGACCAGCGCTCGAGGCGTTGAACTTAAACCGCAGCGACAGGGTACGCGGCCAGAGCCGGCCACGAGGCGGAATAAAGCAGGGTCCCCAGCCGCAGAGGGCTGCGCGGGGCCGTCACCCAGGCCGGCTGCGACAGCGCGGGAACAAGCGGCGAGCGGCTGACTCCCTCCAGCGGCTGTGTCTGCGGCCACCCGCGGGGAGAGAGCATTTTCTACTTGCTCCTTCCTCCGCCGAACCACGGGCAGCCCAGGGCCACGGCTGCTGCGAAGCCACGCACACGCCACCGCGGGCCGCTCTCCGACCCCAGAGCTAACCGAGGGCTAGACTTGCAACGGAGAGCAGCGTCGGACTGGAGACAGAGCGCTTTTGACGGTAACCACCCGCAGCTTGTGTCAGCCGTCTCCAAGTCAAGGCAGGCTGAGGAAAAAATTCAAACCAAACCAACGCTTTTAATGGATATTTATTACAAAACAGCAATATACAAACTGAAATATAAAACGTTATCAAAAACGGACATGCTGTAGTATCTACACCAGACACCTGTCCAGGGTCCCTCCGAGCTCTGTAGCACCCAGGGCTTCTGCGACCACGCCTGGCCCCTGCCAGTCTCCCCACGAAACAGATCCGGCGGGGTCCAAGGTCCTCAAGGCTTTAGGCATAATCACACTCAAATGCATACTCCCTCCTCTTGAAATGCTTCTTCTTTTTCAGCTTCCCAGACCCCAAGATGCTGTAGTTATAATCGGATGTGACATAGGGGATCTCTCCCTCAACTCCTTGCTGAAAAGACGGAAAACAAAACCAGAAACACCTTTAAGAACTCGTATCTTCAGCGAAACGGGAAGCACCTTCCTCTACAGACCGACAGAGCTGACGGGTGGAAAGGCACGAGCTACCACTGAACAAAGCCCGCTCTGGTACCTGAAACACGAGAACGTTCTCCTTTCCCTTGTTTCTACGCATTAAGGACAATTTCCTAGAGAGAACCATCTGCTAACGCCCGACATCTCCAGGCACGCACAAGCCTCAGAAATAAGAAAACGGAAAGCCCACCAGCCGGCCTAAGCTCAGCCGATTTCCACCCTCTTCCCATGCAGCCCCTACCTGGCCCACAAGAACGCAGTTCGGGATAGCAATATTGCCAAGGAGCAGACAATTCACTAGTCTCAGGTTCTCCGGAGGCACTGGCGTCAAAATGTGGTAAAGCTTCTTCTCCATCTCAACCCCTCGGACAATTCCTGAAAAAAAACAGACGCAAAGCTCAGTCTTAACTCCACCGATCACTTTGGGCTGTATAACCAGGTGCAGCCAAAGCTCTTTGAATAAATGGCTCTTCTAGACCCAAAAGGATTTGGGACACATCCTGAGAAAAACCTGCACTGCTGTATCCCGCTTTTCCAGTACCTCAGCGGACATACGAACAGCTAACTTCCCAAACCGCCCATCCCTGGTCACTGGTACACTCCTACAGAAGCTGAAGGAGCTCAGTACCAAACTCCAAGTCAGAGCTGTAATACTGCATCAAGTCGTAGAAGGAAAGCGACAGACAGCTGAGGGAATTCTGCATAAACCTCGTGGAATCTGCTTTTGAGAACGTGAACCCGGAAAGCAAGTCACTTGTCAAGTTAGGAAAGAGCGAGAGAAGCAAGCTACAAAAGGCGCCGCTCAGTGACGTTCCCTGTAGCTGTTACCACAGGCTAATGAAAACCAAAGGACCCAAAGCACAGCTTGTAACAGAAGGGAATACATGACTATGCTTTTATCTCATCCCGCTTTTTCCGTTGTTTTTGAAAGAGCAGGCAACTCCGCCACTCTGCAACCTATCCGTCAAAACACAGCGAGAGAGAACGCAGCTCAAGGTTTCCCGGGCTTGCTCACCGAAGCCCAGGCAATCGCAGACCGGTGTCTGCGTCAGCAACACTGGCCCGTCCGTTTGGCATCTGATTTCATCCGGTATCCTGCACAGCCCGACCCAGCTGGCGTTCACCGCATACATGATGTTGGTAGGAGCGACATCGGTGTGAATAACCCTGAGTGCAACAGCACTGAAAGGTACCTGAGGCGGTAAAAAAAAGAAGAAAAAAATGTATCGTCGGCTCAACGTCAATTTAGGTCGAGTTCGGAGATAACACAAAACCTGAAAGCTCCCAACCCACACCTACAGACAGGCATTATCTCAGTGGCAAACACAACAGTTTCAACACTAACAACTGAACACACAAAACACACGTGCCACGCTGACATCTCAGCAAAAACCTCACTTCTAGATACACTGAATAAAGTCATTCTTTTTGCAGATTACAGAGCGTTTTTCCCTCTTCCAAAAAAACATTTGCAGTACAAGCAGAACTGCCAATTACTACAAGCTAGGCTCTCTACAACATCTCCGAGCCTTTCAAAAACCTCATTTACCTGATACGGCACCAGACTGTGCAGCGGAAGCACTGCCCCTATGTCTGGGGACTGCAGCTGGCCCAGGTAACCCAGTATGGACATGTCACGCAAGATGCCGCTGTGTACTCGCCTGGAAAAATCACCGCAACAGATGAAGGAAAGGCAGCACACCCTCACACAGTGCTTCAACCCAGACACCCCGGTACGCCATGCAGCATTAGCCACTATTTCACACAAGTTTAGTTTTTAAAACTTCTACCCCTGAAGAAAATTTAGAGCTATGTTTTTATTACCTCTAAGGGACCACAGGACATAGAGCATTGTTTCAACTTTAAAAAGGCATTCATTAACAAGGGTGGTGTTTGGTTTATTTTTTTTTAACAAAGTTTGTTATTTGATAATGGCTCCCTCCTCAAACCCTGATGACCACACACCTTTCAGTCAGTCAGTCACAAGGCAGAGCAATACATTTGTTTTCTTAAATAGCTCATTAGTGCAGGCTGAGTCAAAAAAGGCACTTAAAATTGGCAAGACCCAAAGTCCAGGAAAATAAACATTTTGAAGATGCTCAAAGTATCAGAGAGATTAAGAAACGATGTGGTCATCATCTAGGTCTGTAAGAAATGGGTAAAGAACCTCCCAATTAGAAAAAAAAGGAGACATGATATTCAGTGATTCCAAGTGGAAGTCATGCCCAGTGCAGAAGTAACTGACAGTGGTCATTGGAAGTAGGGGAGGGAGGAACCCCCTCCCCATCCAACCTAAAACACCGACCCTATACAAACCTCCCCCCAAACACCACGCCCCCAAACCAAATACCCAGAAACCCCAGACAAACACCCAAACGTAACCCCCTAATAAGTCAACTAATAAGCTCTGACCAATTTAACGGAGCTCTTGCAGCCAAAGCAAGAGTCAGGACTTGACAGGACTGTCAGGACTACGCGTGGTTTTGTTAAGCCCACTAACCGCTACGTGGCACTAAACTTTCCACTTACGCTTCACCTGCAACCCCTGCTCGAGGGAATTCTGGATGGACGAACAGCAACTTATACTCGGGAGCTGATGCATCTCCCTCCCCTTCAGAGGACTTCCAGTTCTCCTCTCCACTTGTACCCATCTGCTTGCGTTTGGCTTGCTGTTTGCCTTTGGTGTACAGGCCAGGAGTGAGATGAACGTACTCTGGGGTGAGCGGAGCCATGGCCTTCCAGTCGTACACATCCATCTGAACAATGTGACTGGGTGACAACAGCCGAATGATATCAATCAGAAGCAGCAACCCCTCACCTTTAGGAAGCAGAGAAAACACGATTGCTGCCACTACATAAACAGGTTGGAACACTGTTACGGAAGACCAGTACTAGCTCAAGGTGGGTAAGCTGTATTTGCTGGTTCCAGACTCTCTAGAAAACGTGGTGATGCACCGTTACGATTATCACCTCCCTTCCCCACCGCCTCTGGAGGCCAGATCTATCCTGTTTACCTTTCACCCAGCCCATGGTGTTGATGACTAAAGGCACTTCCTTCTTGTAGGAGCTGAACACGTACTTCACGACATCAAGGTATCTTTCCGTGTCCTGCTCACAACTGGTCTGTCCGTAATACACCATCTTACGCGGCGTTTGCTGATGAGTGAACGGTGGACCTGAAAAAAGCAAGCAGCAAACCTCTAGCGGTTTCAGTAAGTCACATCATAAGACTCCCATCCCTGTAGCGCCTACATGCAATCCATTCCGAAATCTGTCCTCTTTCCACATGCTAACAGTCCTTCTTGTACAGCCTGTGCCTACGGAGAAACTTTTCAGTCACTTGCAAGACTCCATGCTAGCAGTTTTGTTTGTTTGGGGGTCCGGGTTTTTGTCTTGTTTGTTTGTTTTAAATCACTGGTTACACATTTGTGAATTTCAAAACAACAGTCTTCTATGACAGACTATCCAAAAAGTAAACAAGTCTGGCCATATTCTTTTTAGACAGCAACCCAAATCCACAAGACCACAAATACCAGCAATTTCTCTGGCTCTAGTCTTTTTATGCTCATAACAACAGCCCCCAACTTACGTGGATCCACTTTGTACTCCTCAAGATAGTTTTATCTATGGATACTAAAAACCGGGAAAGACTTTCCCAAAGAGACCTTCCAAATCTGAAAGGCTGAAAATCCACTTTGACACGCCACAGCCTGTTCCGCCACCTTACAAACAACTATCTTCTCCTCTCTTTAAAGCAGAAAAAACAAGCAGGGAGAATACCTCCACATTACTCAGTGAGACTTCCAGGTGGAGCTTAGATGCCCCTAGCAAGAAAACTTTTACAGCCTTTGTTTTATTTTCTATATGCACCTTTAACAGACACGGCAACTTCCCATAAAGTACAGCCTCTACTCAGAAAGCACCTTCCGGAAACGAAACAGGTTTCTGGCAACTGCAGAAAACGGCAAAACACATACCAAGAATTGGCTCTGTCACGTTACTTAAAGACACGCATCCAGGTGGCGTAAATTCAGTTTGACCTATGTCACATTCCATATATTCAACCGAGGGAAGGCTGCAGTGAAAGAAGCCCGTATATTAGAGTCCACTAAAAGAAATGGGACACGACCTGGAGCACATCAGAAGCACGATCTGATTTTGTTCCAGGTCATCAAAATTAAATTCTTGAACACAATCAAACCACCACTTGTCTCTCTCCTTCCCCCACTTGAGGGAGTATTAAGCGAGAACGTAAAAAGCTCACCTACAGTTCAATATTATATTACAATAGCTCCATACCCATCCAGCCTTAAGAGAAGCAGCTAGAAGGACAATCGGAGGTGGCACTAATCAGTGTGCCACCTCTCCCACATTAACTGGGCACCCTGAGACCAGCCATTTGAGATTTATAAACTTTATAATCTTTATTTTAAGCATGCAGTAGTCAGGGGAATCATCTTCTACACCTTGCTCTGCCAAGAATCTTCAGACACCCTAACAAATTATAACTTACTGTGTGTTTTTAAGTGTTACAACTCCCAGTTCCTTACTGAATCCTAACTGCTCGGTGCCCAATTAATTCACATACTCCAAGACAGCAATTTAGTAGTATTTCAATAGAAATGTTTCACTAGTCAACTTTTCTGAAAGGAACCCAAGACAAGAATGCCTATTTTTCCAGATTTTTGTTTGTTTTTAAAAAATAAGCCACCTCCCAGTTGTAACAGCTTTTCTGAGAATCTCGGCAGGCAGGTTTTTTCCTTCTGCTAAATCCCATGCAATATTTAAAAACTGGAGAATGTGAGAAGACTCACCGATTCAGTAACAGATTAATTAGGTATCTGTTAAATGTCGATTTCCCAGTGTTTTTTGGGCCACACACCAGAACCACGGGGACACCTTCATCTTCCGCTGCAAAAACAAACATACTCTGAAACGGACCGATGCTGTCAGTTACCCCCATGTGCCGTGTTTGCATGGATTCATTAAGGAAAAAAAAAAAAGGCGGCCTGAAAAAACCTACAGGCTCTGTGGTCTGACTAGGACATATTAAATGGAAAAAAAAAAAACATTAAAGAGAAGCATGTTAAGAGCACCAGCGTAAAAGAAAAAGGCTCCTGAAGCAAGAAGCAAGCCCTAGCACTAGAACCCAGCATATATGAACTCCAACTGCTCACGGTATTTTAGATGTTGCTGGATAAGTACGGGGGTGTTTTTTCTACCCGCTACAAAAGAGAGCAAAGTTAGTTCTGACGTCAGACTGGGAAGTGCCTTCACGGCAGCGAGCTGCCTATCGGGCAGCAGAGGCGCAAACCCACTCGCAGTAATGCACAAGCTCAAAACTCCCACTATTTTGGGGAAAAACGCGACCCTCAAGCAGCGCCTGTCGCAGGGCACATTCTCCCCAGCTTTAACTCGTGAAAAGCCTCGTGAATTTCCCTTCTTCAGGCTACTAAAGCCCCCAGCCTCGCCAAGCGCGCGCCACTCACCACAGCATGCTTGGATCAGCTCCTCCAGGGCCACGAACATGCTCTCCGACACCAGCAGCCCGCAGTCAGGGCTGCACTTCACGATGCCAACAGACGCCAGAACTGCGTCTTCCGGCGTGAAGCTGGGTTCTTCCTTTTTCTAGGGAAGAGTAGAAAACCGCTTCAGAGCGCGTAAGGCCTCGTAGCTGCGTCGCTGGACGCTGACGGCGCACCAAGCGGGGGGCCATGGGGCCTGTTCCGGGGAAGGCGCCGTACCGGGGCGGGGCGGGCATCACGACGCCCTCCGGGTCTCACCTGGGGCTCGAAGAGCCGCGACAGCGGCAGGTGGCTGAGCAGGAACCGCGTCACCGGCGTGTCCAGGTGCTCCAGCAGCACCACGGCGCACTCGGGCGAGAACCGCGCCATCACCTTCACCCGCGCCTCTGCAACGGGGGAGAGCGCCGCCCTCAGCCCGCGCCCAGGGCCGGCGGCGGCGCCGCACGCAAAATGGCGGCCGCCCCGCACGCAAA